CCCCAAAACCCCAAAACCCCAAAACCCCAAGTATTGATAGAAGTTTTTTTGAAATAAACAAAATATTTTATAAATATATCGTAATTATAATGAAGTCGAATTTCATTAAAATATTTTCATCATGGTTACTTTTATATTCAAGTTAATGTGCTACACAATACTAATAGGAGTTAAAATAAGAGCTACCTTGTCTAGCATGTCTTGATTAGCCTGATAGGAAAGTATGCATTAGGTACATCAACGAGGTAAAGCAAAATCCAAGATGCTGTAGTATTATAGCCCCTTCAAAAGACGAGACAAGTGAGTTCAATGCTTATATGAATTATTGTTTCAGTCAAAGCCCAATCATTTTGTGTTCAGATGAATATCTTCCAGAGACAACAATAGCAAAGCAGTCGATGTGCTTAATGAAGCCAAGTAATGTAGAATTAGCAAATTATGGAAAATAATATAATTGCGATGGAACACCTTTAGTTCTTTAAAGTGGATTCCAATCATTAATAAAAATGGAAGTGGATCTTTAGAATTATTTCGTTTGCTACAAAAAATTCCAATTACTATCATATGAGGAAGATTTAGATTAGGATGATATTGAGGGAATCTAATTGAAAATCAGTGAAATTTATAAGTACTAAATGAAAGACTTAGCAGTCACATACTTTCATAAGGATGTTTGGGAGTAAGCTGATTTAAAAACAGTGGCAAATTCATATAATTAGAATGGAGAAAATTTAAACATTTTAGATTCAGGCGTGAGCATTTTCTTCGATCACCTAAATGATGATGATGTAAACATTGTAACTTATCCTGATTCAAGTCATAGATTTTCTTTAATTGAGTTAAATGATGCTTATGTTATTGGAATAAAGGAATAACCATTAGATTAGAATTAAGTAGATCTAGCTAGAGGATATGTGCAATTCAAGGTATTAGCCTAGATTAAGTACTCTAAATTGTTTTATGACAAGCAAAATCTCAGTATAAATTTAAAAAAATAAGAGTAGCTGGTGATTGTAATCCTAATAGCTTTCATTCTAATGAGTGTCCTTCTTTTGATAGGAATATTCATATACTGTAAATTCATTAAAAGAAACCGTAAAACTTAAAGACAAATAAGTGGCTAGCAAGAAAATTTATCAATTCCAGATGGTACAATTTCTAGTAATATAACAGTGTCGAATAGACAAGAAGAAATTGGTTATTCAATATAAGAAGGCAATAATAACCCGAATATTAATACTTAAAATCTAGATGCTATTGTTGAATCCCATAGATTAGGTAATTAGAGAGAAAATGAAAATAATGGCATGAATGAATAAGACCTTCAAAATTTTGACAACCCCATTCCAAGATTTTAAATTGATTTTAATCCTTATGATAGTGTGAGAAGCACGAGCTTCTTAAAGTAAAACTTGGATGAGATAGTAAATGAAGGATTGAGATAGAGCCCTGGTTAAATAACTATAACAGAGACATTAGAAATTGATTTAGATGATGATGATGATGAAGAAGCTGAATAGTAGAATAAAAAAGAAAATAATTACTATTGACAGCATATTTTAAATTGTTTAATCATTTAATATTCCTTAAAACATTTAAAATCAATTTTCAGGGGTTTTGGGGTTTTGGGGGTTTTGGGG